CATCCCAAGCGAGTTCTTAACCATCGCGCCACTCGGCCGGCCCTTCAAGGTTTTTTTTTTAATTAAATGAGCATTAGTTGAGTGTCATTTAAAATTATTGATACTGTGTGTATTTTTTAATCATAGTTATCTCCACTACTAAAAAAGCTAGTGAAGAAAGGTTGAAAAGGCTACAAAAATCTGTAGACTTGTATAAAGATCGACTTGGACTAGAAATTCGAAAAATTTATGGTAAGTATATTAATGTAAGTAAATCTTAGGAGTTAGAAAGGTGTGTCTGTCTTAAGTAGAGGAGAATTAAATTTTTTTTCAAAGTAAAAATATTTCAGATTTGCAAGTAAAATGATGACTGCATTATGAACTTTTCAGGAAATAGGAAAATTACAAAATCTTTATCACCCTAATATAATTACTGATGCCTTGGTTATTTATCATCCAGTGTTCTAATGAATATTTTTGGCATGGTTGTCAACATGCAAATATTATTTGTTCCTTGTGTGTACTGGTATTGTATAATTAGCGTTTCTCCAATTGTTATAGCCTTCGTAGTGATAAATTTAAAATGGTAGTGTATAATTCATTCCATGAATGTATCATAATTTATTCAATCTTTTTTCTATTGTTAAACACATGTTTTGCCTCTAACTTAACATTTGGATTCTGCCTGTTTTTTAGTTTTAGAAGTACTGCGGTGAATGTAGACTTCTCTATTTCTTTTATATAATTTCGGTGGAATTCCCAGAGAGGTACTACTTACTGGGTTCAAGCATATAGTCTAACGGCTGTGGATATGTGCCAGTTTAGAGCACTGCTTACTGTGTTGGGAGTCCCCAAGTCACCATCAGGTTTGGCGATTGTCCAGAAAGACTTACAGGACTCAGCATATAGCCATATTCATGGCTCAGATTTATTGCAGAAAAGGATGCAAAACAAAATCGGCTCAAAAAAGGCACATGAGGCAAAGCCTAGAGGAAGCAAGCTTTTCAGGCATAAGTTTTCAAAAGTCCTAATCCAGTGGAGTCACACAGGACGTGCTTCTTTCAGCATTGAATTGTGACAGTACATGTGAAGTGTCGTCTACCAGGGAAGCTCATTGGAGACTCTGGAAGCTTGTGCTGGTTTTCCCTGCTTCACCCATGCATCTTTTTCCTTTGCTGAATTTACTGTATCTTTTCACTGAGAACGACCATATGTGAATCTTCAAACCTGGGGTGGTCTTGGGGACCTCCAACATACGAGCCAGGGACCAGCCTTGCAAGCAGGCCTTTCAGAGGTTCTGAGGATAGCAGTGTGAGGTCTGCCATGTTAATTCTTTTATGCACATCTATCCACAATGTAAAGGTTACCTATTCCATGTATTCTTGCCAGAATTGTATTTTTGTGTGTTTGTATGTTTAGGGTTTTATTTTTGGGGCAGTTGATCAGATATAATTGGAACTCTTTTTTAAAAGTGCATTTCTTTGATTATCAATGAACGGAGACCATTTTTTTCTATTTGTTTACTAATTGTATTTCTTTGATTGCATGGGCTCTTCATTCATATATCCATTAGTCTTTTTTTTTTTCTATCAGAATGAACTTTTAATAAAAAAATATTAACCTTTTGATTAGAGGAGAATATAATGTCCAACTCTGAATTTTTGATACATTGGACTCTTAATTATATATTCATTGTCATCCTGAGGCACTTTTTTGTTTAGTTTTGTTTGAAATTTTAAAGCTTTAAAATTAGTTTTAGATTTCAAATAGAACTTTCTCATGGCCCTCAAAGTCAGGAAATAATGTTTTGAAAAAGAGACAGCCCAAATTAAACCCTTCGCTTTGCCTGACTGAATATCTTAAGCAATCTCTTTTCCTTGGCATGCATCCCTCTCTTTACTATTACCAGTTTGAAAAATCTGGTGTACTGACATAATTATTTCATTTTGAAGTTAAATGACAAGACAAACTTTTTCAAAGTTTCTGAAGATTCCCTTTTATAATTAAAAGCATTTTTATGAGGTTTCCTGATTTTTTTTTGTTTTATGCTAGAACAAAACTAAAATGCATGTGACTTTCTACTTTGTGACTGCCGTTTTGAATTTCTATGAGGCATTTACTCCTTTGGGGGCATTTGGAGATCTCTTGAAAAATAGGCTTTAATGTAGAAAAAGTCAAATTTGTTCAACAATACATATTTTTGTGTGGTAATCATATGACATAGAATTTGCTGTTTTAACTTTTTGTACAAATCAGTGGTGGTAATTATATTCACGTGTTGTGCAGCCATCACCATTATTTATTTTCAGAATTTTTCATCACCACAAACAAACTCCATACCCATTAAACAGTAACTCCCACTTCTCCCTCCCCTCGCCCCTGATAACCTCTAATCTACTTTCTGTCTCTATGAATTTGCCTATTCTAATATTTCATATAAGTGGTAACTTAACAATACTTGTCCTTTTGTGCCTGGCTCATTTCACTCAGCATAATGTTTTCAAGGTTCATTCACATTGTAGCATGTATCAGAAGTCCATTTCTTTTTATTATCGAATAATATTCCATTGTATGTATATATACCACATTTTGTTTACCCATTCATCTGTTGGTGGACACTGCTATTAATATTATCACCTTTTGGCTACTGTGAATAATTCTGTTGTAAATATTGGTGTAGTTATCTACAATATTTGAGTCTCTATTTTCAATTCTTAAAGAGTATGTACCTAGGAATGGAAATACTGGAATTAATATTGTAATTCTTTGTTTAACCTTTTGAGGAAGTGCCAAACTATTTTGCACAACTGTGGCACCATTTCATGGTCCCACCAGCAATGTAAAAGGATTCTAATTTCTCCACATCTTCAACAGTTGTTTTTCTTTTCTTTCTTTTTTTGTTTCACACCTAATAGGTGTGAAATGGCATCTCGTTGTAGTTTTGGTTTGCGTTTGGTTTGCAGTAATTAGTGGTGTTGAGCATCTTTTCATGTGTTTATTGGCCATTTGTATCTACTTTTTGGAGAAATGTCTAAGTCCTTTGTTCATTTTCTTAAATTCTTTTTTTTAAACTTTATTGGAGAACGGTGTATTTTTCCAGGACCCATTAGCTCCAAGTCAAATTGTTATTTCAGTCTAGTTGTGGAGAGTGCTGCTCACTGGCCCACGTGGGAATCGAACCGGCAACCTTGGTGTTATGAGCCCACACTCTAACTACGTGAGCCAACTGGCCGCTCCAGTCTTTTGCTCATTTTTGAATTGGATTGTTATTCAAAACAATTTTTGTTGTTCAGTTGTAGGAGTTTTTTATACATCCTATATGTTAAATTCACATCAAAGGTATCATTTGCAAATATTTTCCTCTATTCTGTGGGCTATCTTTTCACTCTCTTGATGGTGTCCTTTGAAGGACAAAAGTTTCTAATTTTGATGTTCATTTTATTTTTGTTTTCTTTTGTTGTTTGTGCTTTTGGTGTCATTTAAACTATGATACGTTTTAAAGCTAATTTGTAATGTATATTTGGAGACAATGGTTAAGTGAATATAAATAGTACTTAGCAGTATAGATATTGATCAAAGACAAAGGTAAGAAAGCTCATTTCCATTGAAAGCTTTGGCATAATAAAATAGTCTCATATTAAATAATTTAATCTCTTTTTTCAGGTGATAAGTTGCAGTTTATATTCACTAATATTGACCCTAAGCACCCTGATAGCCCATTTATGTTTTGCCTACACCTAAATGAAGCAAGGGACTATGAAGGTATGTCCTCCTGTCTAAAACGTGTATTTAAGTTTGGCATCCCAAAATGTTATTTGAATCAGAATATATAGTAATATAAAGGAAGTAATATTCCCACAAGCTATTGTTTTCTTTTTTATTCTTGTTTTTTGGGATATTCAAAGGCTGTGACTATCGTTTTGATTTATAGATATAATCAAAGAGCATTAATAAGCAACTTTTCCGCATGCCACAGTGCCACAGTGACAGAAGTCTAGAAGACAAAAGATCACTGTATTTCATATGCAAGTTTGGATTATCCTTTTAGAGAACTTAAAGCGTAGCTGTAAAGGATATGACTGCCTAAATGTGAATATTATGATTTATCCAAAAGCAAATGTAAAATCAGAATCGGATCATTTTTCTACCCAAAATCAATTTTACAAAATTATCCCACCCTGAAAAATCCTACACATTGATAATTTAGCTGAGTTACTGATTCTCCAGTAGGCCAGGAGGTTTTTGATTTATGGGGAACATATATGATGGTAAACAAGAAGAGAATAGAAATAATTTATCTCTTTTTTATTCCCCTTTTAAAGTAATTTATCAGAATTCAGAAAATGGTTCTCAGCTTTTTATATCTGTAGTCTCATATTAAAGCATTTAAAGTAGATACACACTCAGGTGAACTGCTTAGTTGGCTCCCTAACGTGCCCTGATGACCCAATTTCTAGTCTAATGGCATTTACATTTTAGGAATCCAGTTCATGTACAAATGTTTGGCTTTTTTCTCTTTAGACAAATACCTTCTAATGAATGCTGAATTTTAAAAGCAATCCCCCAAAACTTCTTAGCTAGCTTTTTAGTTTTCTCCAAATTGGATATCCTCTATTGCTACATAGTGTCATAATATTTGTTAGTGTATTGAAATAGAACCTACAGTTTAATTTTGAACCAGATGCTCTTTTCTGTTCTTTTTCTGCTTTGGTCATGGGCCTTGTCTCCTAAGCAATCTCCACCAGAGAGCTGGAAATTTGATGTGGTCGAGAATGCTGGGTCCTTCCTTTCCTTTGACCATCCTTTCTGGAGAGTTGCTTGCTCCCAGTCTGTACCATCTGGTACAACTACATATGAGATCCATATCGTTATTTGTGACTGAGTATCATTTCTTTAGTAGGCACTGTAAATACCACTTGTGTAATAGCAACCACATTTTCTAATGACCTCCTTTGCATTTGTGAAACTTTAGATTTTTTCCCCCATAATTGTAAGTTATTAAGGGTTGGCATTGAAAGTTGTTCCTTCTTTTTAATTCAGTGGTCAAATATTAGATGTCAGGCCAAAGTTTTGCAGAGAAAACTAATGTGACAGTTAAAAAAAACTGTTAAGACATTTTAAATAATTAAAATATATAGGAAAGATGATGGAAAGTGGTATTCTGTTCTTTATCAGTATCATTAAGCTCTTCAGTCCCTTGACTACCATCTGTTTAAATTTAAAGCAAGATTGTAGTACATAGATTTGAATATTTAGAGATTAAGCAAAGGCAAGGTCCAAATGATAGTTAGGATAGGAAAATCAAGTGTATTTATCATTTTATGCTCAAAGTAATTCAATAAATAAAATTAAAATGATTTGAATCAGATGAAAGACTCTAAATTAGAAATCCTTCTCTTCCATGAAAAATCTCATTCAAATTGTCTTCTTTTATTTCCCCCTAGTGTCAGACAGTACTCCTCATCTTGAGTGCCTATCAGAATTTCAAGAGAATGTAAGGAAGACCAAAAATTTTTCAGCTTTTCTTGCCAATGTTCGGAAAGCTTTTAGTACTATGGTTTACAATTAATGTATAAAAACTGTTTTGTTTTCTTCCCATTTGTGCATCTCTGTTGAAAAGAATTCTCATCTATTGTTTGCCTATAATCCATCTTTGTATGTTTAAAATATTTCTGTGTGGTGTATTTCTTTAAAGTATTTTAATTAAAATCTTGGGAAATAAAATTTATACAGTCAAATATGTTCTTTTCAAAATGAAAAAATATGTATGAGCATGCGCGCACACACACACACACACGTATAGTTGACCCTTGAACAACATGAGTTTGAACTGCACACGTCCACTTAATATGTGGATTTTTTTCCATAAATATATATAGTCAGCCATGCATATCCCTGGGTTTCATATCCATGGATTCAACCAAGCATGGATGGAAAGCAGTATTTTCAATCCACAGTAGGGAATTGATGTATGTGAAAGGCCGATTTAAATTACATGAGAATTTTCAACTTCACAGGGACTAAGCTTTGCAATTGTTCAATGGGTCAACAATATATATACATATATATTCTTAGATAAATTTTGGTTTACATATTACATACAATAATATATATTTTATATTTATATTGGGTTGTCGGAAAAGTGATATATTTTTCTGTTTTTCGTTGCAAAACTGCGTCATGACTTTTCTGACAACCCAATATATTATTAAAAATATTTTTATATATTATATATATTGTTTTAATGGCAGGCATGGGTAGTTTATGGCTAGCTTGTAAATGGGAATTGTACAAAGTGCACTGTGTCTCTGTGGTTTCCAAGCCTTTTAAGGTCATGGGCTAGTGATATTAAAATGTTAGGAGAGTGGGCCCAACCTAGGGTTGGCAAATTTTAAATGTACTTGGTAAGTAGAACACTAATAAATTAGTACTATCTACTATCATTTTAATTTGAAGGAAAGAATATTTTTATCTCACCCCAAGAGGATCTACAGTTAAAAAACAAACCTGCATATTAGAAGAAGGTTGGCAGTATTCTAAGATATTCCAAAAAGTTTATATTTTTGAAAATCCACATATAGAATATTTACAATCATTTTGTAATATTTATGCTGTTTAATTGTGGTCTGGATATAAGTTTGCCGTCTTGAGAGTCTATTCAACAGACTAAAATTCAAATGTCAACTTGTTCTAGGGTTTTGTTTTGTCACTGTCCTGTCCTTGTAAAATTGGTTGTATTTATGTGTTGGCTATAATGGAAGCCCCATAGACCAGCTTCAGAATACCTGAGACACACCTAAAAAGCCATGGAACAATGACCCTTCCTCTAGTTCCTCTCATGCTCCCTGAAGTTGAGGGAAAATTTCAGTTGTCTAGTTAGTGGGAAGGGAGTTTCAGAAGCCCTCTCGCTCTTAATCCTCTCAGGCCTAGGACCTGGCTCAGAGCTCTGCTCTTAATAGCAGTAGAATTTATCTGAGGAGAATGCTACGGACTGGTGGGAATATCCCCTGACCCACCTCAGGGTGCAGACCAGCTTTTAGTAACAGCTGATTGGTATCTCCATAGAGATAAAAGGCTAATAAACTGCCCTAGAGATTGGAGCCTGTTCTACTAACAACAGTCTTACCTATTTTAGCATGAGCTTGGCTAAAGGAAGCATCCTACCAGAGGGAGTGCCGTGAGCAAAACTATCCAGTTTTCTTCGGCAGATCTTCACATCTGGCCTTATTTTTTTATATACCTACATTTAAATTTTCGAGGTTTACTATGTGCCAACCTAGAAAGATTCTGGAGCTGATATTAATATATTAGCTTAAATTTTAAAGTTGATACATTTATGAAAATTGAATGATTATGAATACATATGAAAGACAAACCATGCTATCCTATTAAAGGTGCTCTCTTTATACATTTTATTTAGAATGGTATGTTGTAAAAATGAAATAGTTTTAAGCATTTAAAATCTTCCTGACATGGAAATAAAGTGTCAGATACAAAGATATGAGACTTTCTTAAATGGGAGAAATATGCCCAAATAGTAAAACTGATTGAAATAGAATCCAAATAGTGTTGACTAATCTAGTCCACATTTTGTAATAAAATGGCATAATGAGATCTCTAAAATTAACCTCAATCACTAATTGTTTAACTTAAAAAAAATAATCAGCACAAAATCTGCTAAAGTGTTCTACAAATAGATTTGAAGTTTCAATTTCCAGACTAACGAGGATTAGAAAGTGTTGCTTCTCTTCCAATTCAGAAAATTCCTGTACAGAGACAATTTTGTTTTTAATTTGTGTACTGTGACAGCGAATTTCCTATTTGGCCATCACTTAGCATAGTGTCTGGCTCATTGTAGAAGCTTAATAAATATTTGTTAATGTTGAAGACATTGTTTAGACTCAATAGAAAATTAATTGGAAGTCAAATTGCACCTTTAAAAAGCAGCTAACTAGTTCAATAATACCTGCAGGCATGTTGCTGAGATGTCCAGTAATTTGTGGAAGGTAAAGATTGTTCTACAGGCAAGTTTTGACTTAATGACAAGCTGATAGAGAGAGAACAAGATTCCTTCTAAATAAAAACAAGAGTTTCATCTAAGTAGAAAAAGAGCCCATCAGTGTAGTAAGTAAACTGGAGGATATACCATCTATTTAAAACCAGTTCCTTGATATTGTTAAATATCAACACAATTGTGATGTGAAGTATGAACAATAAATGGTGTGGATTGATGTGAGAAATGTCTTGACATGTTCTCTCCTTAGCAACTAAGCTAGCTGAAAGTAGCAGCTGAGGATAGGGTCTAACAAGTGGAAAAACAGCAAGGAAGAAGTTGTTTTACTTGCCTTAATATTGGGTTGTCGGAAAAGTCATGACATATTTTTTCTGTTTTTGTTGCAAAAATGCATTATGATTTTTCCGACAACCCAACAGATTTTTATAAGAATTTGGGAAAAGGAGGCAATATTTGAGGTTCAAATAAATACGATATGAATAAATCTTAAATACTCTTAACTTGTTTCTGTGTTTTAGCATCAAAATGGTATTGTTGAAAAATTTGAAATTTAAGATGTGGCCCAGTCTTTTCTGTACTAAATTTGATATAACCTTGGGCAAGTCATTTAACATTTTTGAGCATCAGTTTTCTCATCTGGCCATACTGTACTATGTGTAGTGTTCCAAACTTGCCATTTTCTTTTTTGTTGATCAGGCTAACGTGTGGGGGAAGGGGAAATGGCAAAAGAAAACTAGTTGGAAGAGACAAAAGTATACTTCAGAATGCAGATTGGGGTTCCCTGGGCTTGGGGTTGGCAGGGATTGGCTGTAAAGAGGAAACTTTTGGGGTACTGGAAGTGTTTTGACACTTGATTGTAGTGGCCATTGCCAGACTATACATTTATCAAACTCCATAAGCTCTATTTAAAAGGGTAGTTTTATTGTATGTAAACTATACCTCAATAAAACTTTTTAAAAGGGGTAATCTAATTCAACCATGACTGTGTACTTGTAAACTATTTTACATTGTATTGCAATATTTTGTTTTCATTTTTGTCTTTTTCCACTAGATTGTGCACTCTTTGAGGGTTGACCAAGTTTATTTATTTTTTGAATATTATCATTAGCCCACTATCTGGCACATAGCTGCACACTAAAATGTTCATTGAGTAAGTGGCTGAGTAAATGCATAAATAAATGAGTGAATGAATAGATTAGTTGGGCTATATAATCTCTGAAATTGCTCTCTGCCTCTGAGATTCTAGGAGTCTAACCTTTGTATGCTGTGGCTATTCATTAAGCAGTTTAAAAGAAAAATTTATTCTGATCTTAGAAGAAATAGGAGTAAAATTAAATTCCAAAGAATTTTTCATGTGGAATAAAATTCAATCATGAACCTCAGTACAGTTCTATGATATATTTCAGCAAAGTCAGCTTACCTAGTACGGTTAAAACTGTTTTTGATTAATCAAATATTCTGATAGGTAGGTGTATTAGAACACCATCAAGAATTATAGAGGTGGAGGACTTTCAATTTATGTATAAGAGGATGGAGATCATAACATTTTGACCTCCAAGTTTAGCCACAATATTTCAGGACTTAACGCTGTACAATAAAATTTACCTAAAAACTGAGTGTACATACTATTTAAACACCTTTAAGTGGGGCATATTTTCTCCAGTTCAGCCCATTCCCACTGCTTTTCCTAAAGTGTGACATTCAACCTATTTCATTATTTTCGTTTATTAATTTTACCTCCCTGGCTTCTGAAGATATTTGTTGTTGCATCCCTTGCTTGAAAGATTAGATTCAGGGAACCGAATGGGGAACAGTATTGGTTGTATTAGTGGTAAATCAGAAATGGAGAACAGAGTTTAGATTCTAGGTAAACAAGGCACTTTCTTCTTCCTCTTTCCTAAATTCTAGATAATATATTTCTTCCCATGACCAGTTGCAGGCTGGCTAAAGATGGAAGACCCAGATGGGTAACATGGAGCCTAACTGAGCAGGACTAGTCTACCATGTCTGAACACGATGGTCAGAGAATGGAGAAGGGCGGAGAAGAAGGGAGATGCTGGGAGGATGCGAGTCGGGGGGCAGGATAGAGAGTACAGAGGAATGGACTGGGGAGGGGGCTGTGTGTGGCTCATTTCCTAGTATCAAGTTATGGCCCAACCCATGCTTGCTTTTGCCAGTGAGATTGTCTAGTAAGTGGCTGAGAAAGAGGAGGAAGATTATTTTTTTTGAGAGTTTAATGTAGGCCAAAGTATTCCTTCTTCCTTGGGCCAAGAAAGAGCATAAAAAAGGAGGAAAAGTGGCCCGTAGCGAGAGCAGCCTCCACAGTGGGGAAAGACTTCGCCAGCGAGGTCTCCAACACTACTCATCTTAAACTTGGATCAAAAAGAGGGGCTGTCCCTTTGTGTAGAACCAGCTTCCTGAGTGTATGGTTTTTCTCCGCTTTCTCCCACAGTGCTCCGTCCCCCAGTGTGTCTGCTGTAGTTTAGACAATAGTCTTAGGGTTCATTCAAGTAAGCCAGTGGTTCTGAAGAGTAAACGTGCATGAGTCCCTGGAGGGATTTTTGAATCGCAGATAGTCAGTCTCTGACTGAGTATAAAATAGGGCTGGTAATTTGCATTTCTCACATAGTACAAGGTTATATGGGTGATGCTGGCCCCAGGTGAAAGCTGGCTCAGACCTCTACTTGCTGAACCACTGGAGTAACCACGTACCATTTGCCCCAGTGTCAGGAAAACCCAATGCACAAGCCGGCTGAGATCAGTAACATATCAGCCACCTTATATACCTGGTTAGCCTGGCCCCAGTCCCTTCTAGGCACTCCCTGATGTGACTCCCTTTGTTGTCCCCAGATTGCCATCGTTAGTCTGAGCCTTACAACCAAGGTCTTTTCTCCGGCCAGCTCAGTCTGCTAACACCCAGTTGGCTTCTCCGATCTCATTGTTCCTTTGAGAAAGAGGTTTTCACTCATTCTATACAAGTCTATTTACTCCCACCTCAGGTCAAAGCTATTTTCCTCAACATTCCGTTGACCCCTGATTAGGTTAGCAGCCGCTAACCTAGAAGTGATTCTAATGCACTTCTCTTGCTTCAAATCAGGCTGATTTCAGGCCCTCCCGCCCCGGGCCATCAAGACCTTGGGACAGGAGGTTGTTTTTTCTTCAAGGCGGGGAAAAAAGTTAGACTATGCTCAAATTATTCATCAATTAAAGCCTTATAATACTGTATAATAAAATTTATTTTATTCCAAACTGAAAATTATATTACTTTTTTTTTTTTGGAAAGATTTTTATTGGGGAATTGGGGAATGGGAACAGTGCTGGGGAATTGGGGGAAGGGGAACAGACAAGTTGCTGTCGTTTTGTTCAGTCTAGTTGTGGAGGATGTTGCTTCACTGGCCCAAGTTGGCACCATCATTGCGCTCTTCCCGGGCGAGGCAGATCAGTCGCCGGCTTCTGGATGGCCGCTCACTGCGGCTGCTGGCCGCTCACGCTGGCTGCTGGCTACATACGGTGTAGCCCATGGCAACCTACTGCCACAGGGGCTGCAGCCTACGCCGTCGCTGGCGACTCACAGCAGCCCAGCTCCAGGTTGAGCTGTTGTTCAGCATCTTAGCTGTAGAGGCCAGTGTCACTGGCCCTCATATGTGGGATCCGAACCGGGGCCCTCTGGCGTCTCAAGCCTGTTCTTAACCATCGTGCCACTCGGCCGGCCCTATATTACTTTTTGATGGATCATAATATTCATTGTGAATATTATTATGGGTAATTGGAAATGTGAAAAAAATGAAATTAATAAAACTTTCTGGTTGATAGTGTGATGCACACATCAGCTTTTACTCTACTAGCAAGGAGATAAAATAGAATAATGCCCTCTGATGTTTTCAGTGAAAATCTGGCTCAGACCTCTACTGCCTGTATTTCAGGTTTTCAGTGTTGCTAAAAACTTCCTGACATATGAAACTGCTTAGTGGAATATAATTATGAAAGCCCATTAAGAGTTTAAAAGTACCAATATTAAAAATTATTTTGTCCTATGTGCAAGACTTGGGCACATCATTAATCTTCATAATATGAACTTAATTTTTATAGAACTCTAAGGGGTATCACCCCCATCTGTCCAACCAGAAAATTCTTGCCCTACTGAAGAGAGATTCAAGATAAAAGTTGTTATATCCAACTATATTTGTACTTTATCTAGTTTAAGACTATAGCATTTCTTTGAAGTTTAAAAATTACATATCAAAGGAATTTGTAGCAACATTCCAAAATATGAAGTCCATTTATGTTTTTACAAAGTAAAAGTGATTTATGAAGAAAGAGGGATCTCTTACTTTGAAAATTACTTTCAAAGAGTTTTAGGGCCCAACCACCATTATCACTTTCACGATACAAATTATCCAGTGTAGGCTGCAGTCAATTGCTACATAATTTTTTATCCATCAAGGCTTAATGGAAAGAAATAAGATGAAAAGGAAATATAAATTCAAAATCTCTGTTCATGGTCTAATGGCCTATTATTCAGCCAACTTTCTACATGCAGAAAGCTGTCATTAATACACAAATAAGGATGACATTAAAACTTCTGATCTGTTCTTCTAGTCTGTAAGTTATGTCTCACATAACAAATTTTCCTTGAGCTCTTTGAGGTGTGATATCTATATTTACAATTATCTCTGTGTGCTAGTTATATCCTATAGGAGTATAACGGTGCATAGTATAAAAATATATGTATTAGTACCTTGGTTTGAAAAATTCCTTCTTGAAAGTACAAAATGTGATGAATTAAAAAAAAAGGTAGGGGGCAGGAGAGTAATGAAATGCATTTTAATTACTCCTTTAATGCCACTCTATTTGGCACAAATGTGAACATGCCCAGATGTTTCTATCAACGCCAAGGCCTTCTATTCAATGGAGTGTGTGTTCTCCAGGCTGACAGGCCATTTTCTGTAGATGTTGCTGTAGCACATCTAAATTGTTCTAAATTGTTCCCCTCGAGAAAACTTTGGGACTACCCTCTCTCATTCTCAGCCTTTTCCCATTATAGGTCATTTGAGAAAATAGCATAAATCTTATCTTCTCTATGCAGTCCATTTAATAGTGAATGTTGGTTTCTAAAACTTTCCTTGCAAACTGGAAACTCATTCACATTTAAAGTTCCTTTCACTAGGAAGTGGCTTAGGGTATGCCTTCCTTTCACGATGACCTAGTTGGGAAGTGCAGAATTCCCGGTTACTGAGTTGGTACATGAAGTTTCCAAATGGGCAAGGAGGCACAACATTTCAGGCACTGTATCCTTTCTGACCCCTTCCTATCCACCTTGCTCTTATTCTCAGATCCCCAGCTCACACTTAACCTCACTCTAAGAGCAGCTCTGGTTGTGGCCGGAGGGTATATAAGAAGTCACTCTTCCAGAAGGTCATTGGCTCAGGACAAAACTCCATTCTACCCTGAAATCACCCACCTGGTATCTGGACCCCTCGTCTGGCACCCCCTCTTCTGATTACACAGACTCTTGGGCTCAGCTCCTGATCCTTTATCTAGTCTCCTAACTTGGGTCTGTATCGCTGGTATCTGCCTGCCTGTCTCTGCTGAGCTCCCCTGGGACTTAATCTGTGTTCTCCCTCATCTCCCACATGTTGCCATCCACATCCAGAGGGAGAGGATATCAGTCCTAGAATCTGTTGCGCTACCAGAAAACTAGGTGACTTCAGGCAAGCGGCTAACCCCGCCTTGGAGTCTGTCTCTCTCTGTGGCACCCGGGGCTGTACTGAGTCATATCCAGGGTCTTTTAGAATTTGCAAACCCTAGGAGCCACGGGGCCTCTTCCCTGCCTCCCTCCACTCCGTCTTCTCACTCTTTCAGAAAGATAACCAAGGGTGCAAAGTGTCGTGACATGCAGGCAGGACTTCATCACCCATTTAGAAAGACACGCTTGTAAAAATCATAGCTTTTATCTTTATTTGCATCACACTATCTAGTTTACAGAGTGTGTAAGGTGGCGCGTTGAGAACCTTGTCTTATGCCTGTGTCCCCAGCATTGGAAGGGAGCTCCTCCACATACGCAGCAGGAAAATGGCCTTTTTTTCCCTTTAAAGATCCAAACCACCATCCTTCTCCTTTTTTCTGGTGTAGAGTCACAATGTCACCTGTGAAAATGCACATTTAGTTAGACAAATGGGTCTCTGCAATTTGAGCACGTGCCTGAGTCCGATTGGTAAGACAGTTTTGGGGAGACTCTGCTTTCAAGGAGTTACTTGGGAGCATTGATTCAGATGAAGCAAAATGTATTGACCACCTCTGTATGAAGCAGGCATAAAGCAGAGAATATTAAAAAGAAGAAGATAATGGACAGCCAAGTTATGCCATAAAACAGTTTGGTTAAAAGCAGAATCACGTTGGAACATATGTCCTTCTCGTGTTGGCTGGATCACTTTGGATATAGCTGATGGGTTGTCACCAAACTCTTTCTTGTTGTTTGTGTTTTAAGGGTTTCTCATGTTGGGAGCCAGGATAGTTTGGTACATTGATGACTATGAGTATGTCTTGGCTACCAGACTTTTCTTTAGGTCAAGACAGCTTCTCTCCATTATATGTATCAGCTTCACAGTCCAAAGCGCCAACTCATAGCTTTACACAGAAACATAACTCCTCACTCAAAATTTTGATAACTTTAATAAAATATCAATTTGAAGACAATACTTTCTTAAATCCATGATTCAAATAAGTAGAATCCCTAAGAAACATATGAAATATATGGCTCTTCTCTAATTCTCTATTTAAAAAAAAAATACTATTCTGATGTTAATAACCCTGAAGCTTGAACTGGTACCCCAAACCCTCTGGCTAAGTACTTGTCTTCTGAGAAAGAGTCCATTCTGTCTGGCTGCTATCTGCACATTAAAGTGGAAATATCCACTTCCTTCAGAACCTGAAAGCTACTTTATCTTGGGCACCATTCTGAGGTAATTTTTCAGTCTTTCTTTCTCTTTCATTATTTTTCCCAGGAATTTTCTTCTTAAGAGAAAGGAGACTGTTAACCCCCATCCTCTCTCTTCTCAGTCATAAATCACTATTTATTCTTATAGGAGATCATTCTCACCCTAAGTTCTCCCTATAATGAGTGCTCTAAGGTCAACAGATGGACACAGTCTACTAACAGAAATTCTAATGAGTAATTTAAAATGTTATGGCCAGCTTTCCTAAGCCTTCAATGTCTCATTTCATTGAAAGAACCTACTTAGGATGTTAAGTATAAGTAGGCTTTGCAACCAACGGAGAACAGACAAATAGGATGACCAATTTGTCGTGTAGCTATGTAGCTCAAACTCAGGACCCTGGGTTCTAGAGGGCATCTGGGAAATGCATTTTTTATTTATATGGAAAGTGGGAATACAGCATTTCATTTACTCACTTACTGCTCTAGGTAGCCTTGGGACGACATGATGAGGAATGAAGTGACATAAAATCTTAAAACTTTTAAATAAAGGCAACATTGATTTAAGAAGAATAAAGAAGAGGGTCTACTTTCTATTTCCTTTTTTCTCTCGTGTTTACTTATTTCTGAATTAGAAGGAAAATTAATTGCCTGGAGAGACCTGATTGACAAACTATAAAGGAAGCACTCACTAGCCAACAGTAAATATGTGGTGTCCCTATTGTTTGGCTGTAAAATCCATCTTGACTTTCCCTGGGTGCTGGGCTCCATGTCCTGCTCATGGATAAAAGCTTTCTCCTACAACAAACCCCTTTCTCACTAACCTTTTCATTTCCAGGTCTCTGCCTTAGCTTAAGCATCCAACTGTGGCTGCTAATGGGACACACAAAGGAAGTTGAGTTTGGTGACTTTTTCTTGTTTAATAATGTTGAGGTCTACATAACTCATTACATAATGCCTTTCATGTCAAAGAAACAAACAAACAAAATCTATGACACAAAGAAGTGAGTCTGCTTCCTTAGATTGGTCTTAAAACACTTTCCTGAGAGATAAGTGGAAGAAACTTTAAGCTGGGAGTCCTTTGACCTGGGTTCTAGAAGTTGCTCTTACACTAAGTCATGAGAGAAAGTCACTTCACATTCCTGCATGTTTAGCTTTCTGAAAAAGAAAAAGGTGGGGCCACATCTCTTATGACTTTCCATTACTGCCATTCCACTCCAGTGCAGCACTGTGATTAAGCGTGACTGAGTTTCTGAGTTCGAATCCTGCACTACCACTGCTTGTGACTTTAGCCAAAGTATTTAACATTTATATGCCTCAGTCTCCTTAGTAATAAAATGGGAATAAGTAGCAATACTTACCTCAAAAGGTTTTATGGATATTAAACTGGACAATTGTGCTTGCAACAATGTCTGGCACATAGTAAAACTGAATAAATGTTAGCTATTTTTGTTATGTGGGCTTTATTTTTGATGTGCTTTATCTTCTAAAAAGGGTGATTGTAAACCTGAACTGATTTGACATGATGGTAACTTTTAAGGCTACCATACTAAGGAGTTTTATTCAAGTAAATGATTTCAGCATGGGAAGGCAATTAAACATTTGAGAATGATTCTTACCTTTTTCCAAATTCAATTCGTCATCTTGCCTGGCTTGAAAAGGATATAAGGCCTTGCAAAGATTATTGCCGTGCTGGGCCACACTGGAGGCTGAAAGTTGGATCAAGTGATCATTACAAAGCTGTGTCAGTAGGCGAGAGGAATACGATGGGAAGCTCTTCAGTGTGGTGCAGAGCATAAATATACTGAAGTCGTCTCAAAAGAAAAGTTTATAACTTTACATACTATTAATTCCTTGATTCAGTAACTACTTATGATGTACCTACTATGTGTATAGACTGTGTATATTAATAAACAACTGTATTATAATATAGAAAATAGTAAGTATGAAGATAAAAGTTATTGTAATAATAATAAGAAAGATGACAACTTAAAATTATTTGCTCCCCACATGAACTTAGTCAACATCAGTTAGCTAATATGTGTGGTAGTTAAATTTATGGTTTGGAAAACATACACCAATTTTGCCATTCAGGTATAAATAGCGGACACTGAGAGCGTGTGCTTCTTACCATCATCCTTAAGTACTTATGTTTCTCAAACAACGCAGTGGTGAGTCTTTCGTATACCATGTGGACCATAATGTCCTAGGTTTTATTGAAACTTTTTTTTTGCCAATTTCTAATCAAGAAACTAGAGAGTCAAGGTTACGGTAACTATAGTTGAACTATGAGGGACAGTAATGTGTGTGTGTGTGTGTGTGTGTGTGTGTGTGTGTGTGTTGAAAAGTAAGAGATAGTAGGGTGTGTATGGACAAATGACTAAAAGCGGGTAGCTGGATGAAGGGGTGGGTAGGCCCTGGGATCACGCTGTTTCTCACAGAGAGCACAGGGTTCCATGGAAGTTTAGAGGAGGCCGTGAACACAGAGCTCAGAGTTCCTCCCTCTGGCTTAGGGGTGGCTGAATGCACAGCAAATTGCAGGCTGTCTGAGTAACATGGAACCAGTCACCTGAGGTACCTTTTCACATTAGAAAATTCTTTTCCCAACACTTCACTCCTCTTGACTCCTTCTCACCTTTTGGATTACATTTGCACAGAAAGCTACAAACTCAAACAAATTATTCAGTCCTATTTGAAATGTGAGTTTCTTTGAGCTGATCTATCTATCTATCTATCTATCTATCTATCTATCTATCTATCTATCTATCTATCTATCTCAATGTGACTCTGGAAATAAAATGTAAATGTAGCAATGTGCTTTATCGATAGAACCCAGCCCCAAATTATTCTGAGTTTGGGATTACCTGTAGATGGAGAATTTGGATTGTTCTGCTCGCCGGAAGGTTCCCTGCTCACAACATTCTCTGATCTCTTCATCAGAAAAGGCCGAGACAGTTTTACATAACTATGTGTCTGCTGCTGTTTAAATAGTTAAAACAAACAAACAAAGTCACTTTTAACAACACAGTCATAAGTATTCATGAAAAGTAACTCTTCTGTATATGTTTTCCTTAGGAATTTATTTCTTAATTTTTTTGAACAAGATGTAAATAAAGCATTAAATACATTCTTCAACCCTACCATAGAGCTTTCTTGTTTCTGAAAACTTGATATTTTTAGAATTAGACAACTACCATATCGTATAGCTTGTGTTTGCAATTTTGAGCTGCACCTAGGCCAAATAATAAGATTCACGGCATTACTTTACAAATTCAACTTTATTGTCTTTAATGCAAATGAATTATCCTGACTGTCTGAATGATTAAGACCATTTTAGAGCTCCTGAGTCTCTTCACAAGAAAACTGTCCCTTCATCACAAGATGGTTATAGCTCCCCCTTCTGATAGGGAATGGAAAACAGTGACAAGCAATAGTTATCTGTACATATCAAAGTGCTCAAAATCTATTCCTAAAAAGTATAATGCTGGAAAAATACATGTGTGTGAATTTTAAAAGTTGTGCCTGTACATTATGTACATTGTGTAGTACGTTAAATGGATGAGACTAATGCATATCACAAAACCTTACAATTTAGGTCTGCATGAATACTAAAATTTCAATTTAATAAAAATTTTACTATAAAAGCATATTCAAAAGATAAAGTTAAGGTATGAGGAGGAACAAGAAGGAATCCAAAGTGTTTTTCACTTCTCATATTTCATATACAAAGGAATTATTCAGTTGTGTTTAGCTATTGTTACTCAAAAGGAATAAAAATAAATGTATCTTACAATTCTGTGGTTGGGATTTGACATATGGCATATATTATTCATAACAGCGTTTTTGACCCGATGCTACATTAAGCCACCCCACCCAGCAAGCCCAGTCAAGAATTACAACGAGTCTCTTAAATTTTTACCTTTTCTTTCCACTTGAAGATGGAGTTACTACAGGAATGGCTGGGTTGAGGTCTTTGCTTAAGTTCTGCTAACACTGATAACAGTTTATAGGAGTTTGCTTGCAAAAGGTCTAATTTCACATTGGTCTGTGGATACATCATTGGGCCATGTGAGTAAATTTCTAGAAAATGAGGCACAACTGCATGGGTAAAAGGGTATCAGGATAACTTCCGAAATGACAAAGAGGTCAAGAAAAGTACACATTCAACTCATATGTAGATATATACACAGAAAATGCTGAGGAGAGAAAAAAATGAAACCCTTTCCTAGAGGAATGCCTTAGTTTTTTAGTGTGTCTTACTCTGGACTGTCGTAAATGGAGTAAACCAGAAACCTTGGTAGATATATTACTCAGTATTGTGTGGCAATGAATTGCTATACTCACTTTTCTCCTGAGGGATGAGAAAGGGAATAATAAGTGTTCATTGCAGAAGGCAGACTTTCAGAGGGCCGTTAAGGACAGGGAACTGAGGCATAGGTGTTCAATATTGTGAATAGAATTGAACTTGGATCAATAGAATCAAACTAAAATGGTGCAGGACAGGTTTTTTATTTTTATTTTTTTTATATTATTTATTGTTTTTCTTGAAGAGGTGAGGTCTTATATTACCCAGAAAGTTTTCAGAAACACTTCTGGAAATTGGAAACAATATTCTAGGGCAGGGGTTGGCAAACTGCGGCTCTCTAGCCACATGCAGCTCTTTGGGTACGTTCCGTCTCAAAAGTTTGCCAACCCCTGGAAACGCCAATCCTGTCCCTCACAACAATTTAAAAATTATTCGAGAGCCATAAGTATATTTTTACATAATCACCATTATGTGAATAATATCCTTCAAAAATTTTATAAATGAAACTATGATAGTTTTATTTTCATTTTCAATTTTACTTCAGAGCCCCATGTACGTACCCAAAGAACTGTATGTGGCTCGCGTGCCGCAGTTTGCTGACCCCTGGCGGCTCTTCTGTCTCAAAAGTTTGCTGACCCCTGTTCTAGGGTATCTGATTATAAAAATAAAGAGTGAAGCTAATGATACACTCCTAGGTTCTTCCTGTTCTCTATTTGACCATGAACTAGAAACATTTTAATGACTTCTTTGTCAGGCTGTGTTCAGTCAGGGTAAATTGAATAACAGAATCTAAGCATTGGAAGAGGCCTGCTTATCCAGTCTCCTTCTGACCATCACCTCTCCCTTTTCCATACTGTCAGCATGGGGAAACCCAACCCTAATATCCCTGCCAGGGCGCAACACAGCCATGGATCAAATACCTCCAATCAAAGAGGAAAGTCTCTAATCCTTGGAACAATTCGCTGCATTGTGGGGCAGGCTTACCTGAGAAGAAATCAACCTCTTCCCCCATACCTTCTACCATTTAACCCCCTGCCCCTATGCCTTCTACCATTAGACCTACTGCATTTGAGAGCGTGTTAGAACAAGTCCCTTTCCTTTTCTATGTGATACTCCTTCAGGTATCTGAAGACAATATCGAAAACAGTTTCTCATAAAACATGCCTTGCCAACATTTTTGTTCAAATATGGCACTTCAAAGACCAAGAGATAGTGAATTAGGAAGAACTTAAAAGAAACAGTTTCCTTCTGCAAGAAACCTTCCTTGGGTAACATGAAATCTACCAATATCACCAGTTTCCCTCCAACAGGTGTAGTGGTGTGTAATGAAGTTACATGGATATTTGGCATCTACTATTTGAAGTCTCATATTCGTTTCGTCACTAGATCATAAACACCATGAAATCAGGGGTCAGATCTTCTCCCAAATCGCATCCTCCACTGTACAAATAAGTCCAGTTGTATACCCAGCTGATCCTAATACATGTTCTCTGCTGGTAATGACAACGACAAAATTCTGTGCAGGAACAACCAAAAAACTAAACTTAAAACTTAACACCATCATAAAATGCTCCATATGATGTTATTTTGGTAAATATTATTTGCATCAAATTAGTTTACTAAACATGTTGTGTTGTCACAGAAAACATTCTAGAGTCTGTTTTATAATTTCATGAAAATTGTAGCCGTGTGTCATTGCAAGTATGGTAGGCCTCTGTTCACAAGTGAACACAATTCAAGGCCTTTCTTTACACAATAAGTATTAGGTTTGTTTCTGCAACACTAAAGGAAGCCTATGCTAAAAAAAAAATAGATAAACCATGACTGGCTGCATCCATCTACTTTCACCAAAGAACTATTTAAATTGCCTGTTTGGACAGAATTATAAATTACTTAGTCATAAGAGAGTTAGACTATGTTCAAGGTAAGGAAAGCTCGTACAGTTTCCTGTATCCTTCAAAACATTGTAGAAAAAAATTTTTCTTCCTGAATTTTTCTCAGAAAAGATAAGCCTTCAACTTCCTCTCACTCCAATCCAGCAAAAAACCCATATCTTGCATACATAGGTAATAGTATCTGTTCATTTTTATTTCTATATAAAATTCACAGGTCTTTGCTAACTGCCTTTTTAATGTGGGTTTTGCCAAAGTTTCCACCTTGTCAATCAATCCCCACATATTACTTACCATCCCCTTGTTATTCTCAGAAGACCTTGATGTTAGTTGAGGAATAAATGGAAAACAGCATTTTTAATAACAATGACCAATTTTTCAGGTCTCTTCTGCACACTGTTCTAGCATTTTAAAAATAATATTTATTTTCTAATTAATATTTCATCCTCACAAAAACCTTTTGAGGTAGGTACCCATATTTCTATTTTACACATAAGAAAACTAAAATTATCCCAGTTTCCTGTAAACAGCAGAACTAGATCCTTTCTGAATGTACCGCCTGTGTTTTTGGTCATGTTTCTTAACTGGGTTAGAGCACACATGGTTTCCAGACCCTGAAAAAAATGATTGTATTTTGGAGAATTCTATTTTAGGCACAATTCTTTTCCTGGGAGGACACTAACACAGCTAAGTAGTTGGATTTTTCCACATCCCTCAAATTACTTGCCAAGGGCCTGACCATACAAGCTCTCTGACTAGATTGTTCTATGTCATGAGAAAGGAAAGGCAAACAGAAGTCAAATGGCCAGAAAACAAGCATTCTAAAAATAACTCTTATCATTAAATCTAGGACATGACACTCTGCAAATATTTACCTCATCCATTAAGGCCGCTGTGTTTTTCTGGCTCTCTGGGTCTGAGAAGGAAGAGTGGTTTGAGTATGCTTTCAACATTCGTTCCAGGCCTGAAAATGAAATCACATTCTCAGTCACTGTCTGTCCTGTCCTAGTGGGACATAGCCAAGAGGAGGTCATCCCACATACACACACAACACCCCCCCCCACCCCCCGGAGCTTGAGCCCAGAAGGATTTCCTAAATGGCTGGGGCTGTTTCTGTAGGTAGTTGTTACTCAATTTTACTGAATGGGTGACTTTTACCCTCAGTTAATGAAATGCGAGAAATGTTGATTGGTGCTTAAAGAGCCTTGACTGTTATTTTTCAAGATGAGCTTATGAATCCTCCTTGTTGGCCCACTTTCTATGGTGGATACCTAACATTTACCACCGTGTTACTCCCTCAGTATGGTATTTACATGTGTAAACATTTTTGCTCTCTTGGATTTCCTGTCAAGAATTACATTGCAAGGCGTTGTTCTGGTTCACGTAAAATAAGCTGTATACATACCAGAATCTCAAGTGGGGAGTTGCTTTTATTATCTGCATCACTTTACAGCTACTTCACACTCTCACATGCCTCACTTCTAAGTGTACAATTTGAATTGAGTGATTTTTACATGGTTTAGAGAGGTAGTTAAAAGGAAACAAACAAGAAAACCAAAAGCCCTGTGCACAGGTTTCCTGTGTTTTCAACCAAGTGAATTGTCCCTCATTCCAGCCAATTTCAGAAACACAGTGGGTAAATGAAAATGGTGGTATAGTATTTACATAGCTCTCACAGGTAGACTCAAATGTCATTTTTTATTTTTTTGCTCTCTCCTTTCTTCTTTTTTTAATTTGTCTTTCTTTACACAAATTAGATTTGACAAATGATTCTTTAAATGAGATGGTCCCTGCCTCAGTTAGCAAAAGTAGAATCACCCGAGCTGAATTCATTCCTTTATCAGGCCGGTCACAGAGAAAATTACACACCTTCCCGGTCTCTGGAGGTTTTTTCAATGTCTCTTTGCAGCCTCGACAGTTTTGATTTTATTGAAGACTCTTGTCGCTCTTTATTCATTGCATTGTTAAGATCTTCTTCCTTTAGGGGGGAAAAATAGGATGTTTAACAATTTAAGGGGGAAAAAAGAAAGTCATCTCTCCCAGTTGCAACAGACTTTCACTGACTGTATTTAATTTTAACTTGATGGAAGAAAAAAGTAAAACAAAAAAAAGGTGGCAATCTTTAGTTTTATATAGATTGTTCTACCTTTTCTAGACTTGCTTAATAAGGAAACATCTCCTTGTTCACAACTTGTAAGTACATAGCTGAGCACTTTCTTTAATAGAATAAATTATTCTTGAAAGATTATCCTCACTATAGCTATTTCAGTTTCTTGATAAGTAGATCTATTTGTTGTATACTTATAGCTCTCTACTTATCTTTATTCAAGTTAGAGTCCTTTAATGGTCCAAATGTAGTATCATGTATGTGCCTCAAGCTAGAGCTGCCTCAGGAGTGGAACAAATGTTTATCATATTCTGTGTTGGTGGCTATTGGGAACCTGTGAACTAAAACACAAACACTCTTCCCAGAACGGGTTTATAATTTAGTTGGGCCTTGAAGCATAACATTAAGAGACCTAGAAATTCAAGGCCACTTCCATTTATGAATGGTGCAGACAGGAATGCTTGGCTCACCAAGGGCAGGAGCACGGGCATGAAAGCTTTATGAAGGTTAGAAGACTTAACCAGGATGTTTAGGTCAAGAGGAAGAAGGGTACCCCAAGGTAGGAGAACTGGCACAAGGAAAGGACAGAGGGAGGACTGTGTAAAATGTATCAGGAAGAAAAAGTAGACCAGTTAATTGACAAATATAGTAGAAGAAAAGTCTGAGTAGTTTAGGCCAGATTTTTGGGCTGAAGTAGGGGTTTTATGATTTAGGCTATTAAAAATCATTAACTATATCTGAGCTTTCACATACATATTTCAAAGGTTGAATGAAAAGAAAATTAGGATTTTAGGGTCAGATTGGGGGGTGGCTGAACATGAGTAGAGCAGAGGAACAGAAACCTGTGGAAAAAGAGGGGAAACTAACTACTGAAGATGAAGTGGAGGAGTCAGGACTTATCTGATAAGGAAGGAGAAAAACTAGGATCCTGTATGTTGGCGGAAGGTTAGCTTTAGATAGATTGTCATGAAGAAAGAGGAGCTGAGGTTTTAGAGCCAAGCAAATAGCCTCTATAAAAACATAATGTATAAAGATATTTCATTTACATATCGTATATTATAAAAAAAATCTTTATTACATGTGATTGTTACAACTCTATGAGATTGGTTTTATTTTCCCCATTTTACCTACGACAAAAATAAATGAAGGTCCAAGACGAAATGGCTAGTAAATGATTACTCCTGAAACCCAACTCTTGGGAATCCCAGTTCTCTTCCTGAGGCTGAGGCCCAAGCTGACGAGACAACCTCTGTGAGCTCTAGCTAAACTGCAAGAATGCTAACTCCAAACCTCAGTTCTCCCTTATTGGAGGAGTGTGCATAATAATCTGGCTCCCATACCTGTCCAAGACTTCATTTGTCTGTTTGGGGACGCCTATTGTTTAAAAATGTATTTTTAGGAATGGATGACTACTGGATCAGCTTGAGGATGGAGTGTAATTACCATCATTTAACTCTCTTAAATTTCTCCTTCTCTTCCAAAGATTTGTTAGAAAGAAGATGGATACTGAAGGAGGCATTTAAAACTGCCTACATGATCTTTTGAACATGGCCTTTACAGTGACCTTACAAATATTTTCACACTGGTCACCAGACCTCCAATATTTGCACTCAGATTGTTCTGCTATCTTACCACCTGAACTTGTAAATTTCATAGCACTAGATAAACACCACGCTACACATACTGCCATGACTATAAAGTCAGACTTTGGGGATGTTTTGCTTTAAGGGTATTAAGAAAACCTTATTCACCCACTTGGAGATACAGTCCATTCTCTTACACAACAGATATGTAGTCATTAATTCTAGTGCACTAAAGTCTCACAGAAACCAAAAATGCCCACAGGCACGTCAATTAAAGATAAACCATCATGGCTGCCTCCTCATATTTCAATAGAAGCATAGTTAAATTTTCAAGGAGAATGACCTTTATTTTATTGACAGGTTAGTCTATAGGGGCATTTTTATTATCCTTTTCAGAAAGTAATAGATATATTTTCTTGTATATTTTCTCATTTCAGAGATCACCTAAACTATTTAGAAGAAACAAAAAGGAAGTACTTTTCTATTGTAACCAAATATTGCTTTCCAATCCCATCTCTACCTTTGTTTGTGCTTTGAACACACATTGCTATTGTTAATTTGCTTCGCCTTTCCCAGGGTAAGAAAAAAAAGATTCAATTAAAGAAATCGCTGGCTACTTACTGCTATTTGGAAGGTGGGGAAACAGAAAGCTGGTCCATTTCCTAGCGGTTGGATTCACTGCTGTGCCCAGATCTAACTGCTTTCCCCTCTCCCCTCATCTCTTGTTGCCTTAGTGGGGGTCCTGGGATGTTGACTTTGGCTACAATTTTAATCCTATAGAAGGACATGACTGGTGGGCTGGTTCTATATACAGAGAGGAATAAATCTCCCAATATAGGCCTTGAAAGTCTGAATGAAATCTGGCAGAGGGCCTGGGGAAGAGCTGTCAGGGATTCAAAAGACAAAGAATTTACCCCAAGATAGCAAAAAGACAAGATGCCCAGAGACTCTGCCCAGGGACACTGATCAGGTTTTAAGCACCGATTCCACAGTAGAATCACCCAAATGCCTTCAAAAGAACCCTCCCTAATTTGGTCCAAGTTTTTCAAAGGAAAGACCATAAAGAATGTTGGTAATGATCCCCATCTCCTAGGACTCATGCCTTGTGTAATCCCCTCCACTTGAGTGTGGGTTGCACTCACTGACTTACTTTTAACAAAGAGAATATGATGAGATGTCATTTCTGAGGTTAGCTTGTAACAGAGTATGCTTTCATCTTGAGCACTCTGTCTGTCTCTCTTGGATCACTAGTTCTGGGGAAAGGAGGCTGACATATTGTGTGCTGTCCTAAGGAGAGACCCGCACATCAAGGAAGGGACATCTCTAGCCAACAGTCAGTCAGGGTCAGGGGCCTGCCATCAGCCACGTGAGTAAGCTAAGAAGCTGTTTGTTTCCCAGTGGAGCCTTGAGATGTCTGCAGTCTTGTGAGGCACTCAGAAGCAACCAGCTAAGCCATGCCTGGATTCCTGACCACCAGAAACTGTGACATAATAAGTGTTTGTTTTAAGACATTAAGTTAGAGGGTAATTTGTTGTGTAGCAATAGACAACCAATATGATGCACAGTGATTATTTACAGATCATGAAACATGTCTGCTTGGCATTACTCTCATAGAAGACTGAGTATGAAGGTTCAGTTCAAAACCCTGTTTGACTTTTGCCCTTCCAGAGAACACAAAAAACATGTTTCCTTTACCTCTTTTGTAAACCACACTCTTTTTTTATTTATATGGACTACGAAAAAAAGTCAATATTTTCATTAAAAAAACAGGACATTTCCTTTACAATTGCTCCTGATTTTTTTTTTAGTGAACCCATCAGTACATGACTAAGGTTCCCCATTAGTGGAACTTTCTTCCATTCCATACTTACAAAGTAATCAGTCAGTAGGAACTCAGATTTATTTTCTGTAGACGAAATGGCAGTTTCTTCTACTAGAGCCTGGATATCTTTTTCAACATCTATCTTGCTGATGGCACAGTGAATCTGTGCATGGCACTGCAATGCCGAGGAAAGCAGAACAAGGTTGCTGAAGACATGGGTCCTGCCCGTTCTTACCATGCGTTCCAGAAAGCGAGAAATTTTGACTACTCACTGTGGTCAGGGTTTGGCCAAAAACAGAAATATGTTGGGTGTACTGGTTTAAGTTATTGCATAAAAGTTGAATTCTTTCCTTTTCCAGCTCCAGGATGCTCTGTAAAGGATGGAAAATAGGGTAAGATCAGCAAGTTGTTACACAAACCTGAAGTCACCCATCAAACACTGACATACACAAAGAAAGCCTGAGCGAACTGTCACGTTTGTGCCTCTTGATTACATTATATCCAAACTGCGGTGCGGGGGATTCCCAAGACAGGAATGTGATTTGGTGTCTCTCCTATTTACTCACCATTAGAACTGACTTAATTCACACACTTTTGCCAGGCTTTTTTAGTCCAAAAGGCATATAGGTAGATGCCGTGGGTTACCTGACATTCACAAAGGAAGGGGAGAGGACTTTATTGAAAAGCATTTGTGAGTTCAAGAAAAAGGGAGTGAAGCCCAGTAAAATCCGTGTTCATATCTTGGAAATGCAGCTGAGACTAAATATTTCTAGAAATGTTTACAGTGCATACAAAGCATTCAGTTAGTCTCTGCAAAGGTAAAGATGATGAAATGTAAATTCTGTGCTTCAGGAAACGATTCGTTTTGAGAGCAGAACCCCAAAGTCTGATCAATTCATAATTCTGGCCTAAAATTAGGACTGGGGGTCAGAGACCACTGTTGGAAGGTTCAAACATAGCCTCTCCATTTTGTGTGTGATGACAAAAATTCCTCTTTCCACTCAGTGCTAGCAGAGTTGCTGACTAATTGTTTTGAGGGAGTTCCAAGTTCAGCAGTTAAACATAATGTAAGGAGGTTGGGTCAGGAGTAGGCCAGGGGATTACCAGGCTTTTCGCAGGCAGTGGGAGTCTCCTAGGCTGTGCCTTGAGGACTTCAGCTTTGACAGAAGTGGCAGGTGTTTAAGACAACCTGTTCTTCATCCTGTTTTTGTTAGGACAAGGCCTGGACATTCCTTTCTATCCAGAGGCCATGTTGGTTTCTCAGGTACCTGCCATCCCGCTCCACTCCATTGCACACAGTGCGGAGCACTCAGCAATAGTCTTGCGTGAAGAAGCATTGGGCAATTGGTAAGTAACATTACCATAGGAAGCAAGAAGGGCGGGCTACATCTCAAGGCCTTTGGTAGGGTGGAGGTGGGGAAGCCACACAGATCTTTGGCTTCTCCCATCCTGCCTCCCTGCACACTTGCAGGGCCCACTGGCCTGACCCAGTGTGGTGTTTCTTTATATTCCTGTGAGTAGACTGCATTCACATTCAGCTGTTATTTCATCTATAGCATATAATCATTTAAAAATTTTATTTGTTTCCTCACTGTGGCAAAATTTACAAAACATAAAATTTACCATCGTAACCGTTTTTTAGGTGTACAGGTCAGTGTCATTAAGTACATTCACATTGTTGTGCAACCATCATCCTCATCCACCTTGAGACCTTTTTTCAATTTGAAAAGCTGAAGCTCTGTACCCGTTAAACAATGACTCCCGATTCCACTCTCCGCCGTTCCTCTGGCAACCACCGTTCTAATGTCCATCTTCTATGAATTTGACTACTCTAGGTATCTCATATAACAGGAATCATATAATATTTGTCCTTTTGTGTCTGGCTTATTTTATTTAGCATAAAGTCTGCAAGGTTCCTGGTAATGAAAATGTCCTTCCTTTTTAAGGCTGAATAATATCCCATTGTATGTATACGCCACATTCTGTTTGTTGGTATATAGTCAGTTTAACACAGCTATTAAATGCATGTAGTAAAAGGCTCAGGTAGTAAATATGAACATCTTCCTCAATCACATGCAAATTTCAATTCTGTGCCAAGTGTCCTGACATTTGAATCAAAAAAGCCTGGAGCTCTGCTCCCTGTGGCCACCTTCTTTGTGGATCGGAACCTGCACAATTTAGGTTAAGTCAATGGGCGGCCAAATGCCTTTGTTTCTGGTGTTGGTCTCCTGAGACTTTCTCTAAAATTGTAGGCCCCAGCCATTTGAATGTGGCTGTCTGTCCTCTGTCTCCCGCATACAGGGTTAAAGACACAGAAGAGTAGCCTGTCAGAAACATTGCTTATGCAAAGGGCAGAAACCATATGCCTCCGAACAAATATGTAACACAAACTCTGCTCAGTGGCTTGGATCTCAACAGTCTTCAAAAAGAAAGAGCTTTTACAGTGTAGAAAAAGGTTGAGAAAGCAGATGTCCTAGTTTAGCACCATGAGCAAAGGACAGGACAGAAAAGAAAGGCCAGGTTTAGGACCATTGCATCCGTAGCGGGCAGCTGTTTCTTTACATTGACAAGTGCTGAGCCACCAGCATCAATCTGAGCCCAGAATAACCAGTGTCCTTTGTTGGAGATGGTAATGTTTAATAGATTTTAATTACATTTCAGGGAAATCATTAAAATGATCTATGTTTGCTCATGAAAAGAGGCTGAGATAAATTCCACTGTGTCGAGGGAAAATCCATATCTCACTTAATGAATTATTGCTTTCTATCATCTTTTTCTTTTTGTATAAAATAAGTGGTAGAAAAGCAAGATACGCTGGAGGACCTAAAACTGTCCTCCTGAGCTTTCACAATGGTACAGATGAGGAAAGTGCAGTCAGAGTGACTAAGAACTAGCAGACTGACAGCCTGGCTGGGACCCAGGCATCACAATGGTTCACACTCTTCATCCATTCTTGTCTGTTACTGCTGTCCTGGCCTTCCCATTCACATTACCTGAGGAGTTTGGAGGGACTCCATTTTCATCTAAATTGCCTTCATAAAACTGGTCAAAGAAATATGCTCTTTTAGAACGGGAACTCTCAAACTTTAGTATGACCAGCAATCATCTAGGCCCTTTTCTAAAATCATTCAGAGGTTCTGTGATTCACCAGCCTGGAGAGGTGCTCAGGAATCTGAAATCTAACAAGCACCCTAGTTGTTTGGAGACATTGTCCTTGGGCCATAAACGGCAACAAAAAATCTTTTAAAAATCATTTATAATTCTTCCACCCAAAGATAGTTGCTGTTAACCTTTTGATGTATTGCAGTCTAT